AAAGGAGGATAAAGATTTTGATTTAATTTTTCTTTCATATACAAAGAACGTCTTAACTTTAAAAAAAATTTATAAAAAAGAGTTTTGAGAATAATAATATAGATATAGTTGTAGGTGTTAGATTTGAGACTTAAATATGTATATTTTTTGTGCTAGTCTATTGGCTCTTTAGAATTGGACACATGGTTTTTATCCTTTTGTTTTTAGGTCATTTTTAGTTATGAAAAGAAAATTTGAGTAAAAAATTAGAAACAAAAAAAAGTATCGAAAACTATGGGGAGAGATTTAAAAAATTTTCCATGCTTTTATTAGCTAAAGAAAATGAACATCTAAAGAAGACAAAGACAATGTGCATGAGAAAAAAAAATCACATAGTGTTAAATGCTAAATGGAAAGTTACAATTGGAATGTATTTCTAATATGCTTAAAGTTATTTTTAAACTAAATATAGACAATTTTTTATCGTTGATTATGATATGGCACATGTCCCATCACAATATGACTTCGTTTAACAAATATATTTTCTTATCAGAGAATGGAGATTTGAATATAACTCGTTGAGTTAGATCTGCTAATTTTGATCATAAGTAAAAAAGCTCGACAAATTTTTTATTCCATATAACAAAAAGTTAATAATCCAAACTTATTCAATCCAAACTTAAAAATATCCACACTTGAATTAATTTGAACTAAAAAAATAACCTAAGCCAAATGGACCTAGATCTTAATTGATTGAAATCAAAGTTGACTCGAATCTAATTGATTTGAAAAGTTAATCCTAAATGATTCAAAGTTAAATTACATATATTTTTATTTTTAAAAACATTAATTTAATAAAAATAATAAATATAACATATATTATTTATTTATTTTAATTCTATAACTTTAAAATATCTTAAATTTTTTTTTACTATTACAAATTATTTTTTTATTATAAGATAATTGAATTGAATTTTTATGTTAATTAGTATATATTATAAAGAGAAATTTTTAAATACACTAATAATGAAGTTTTTAGATTCAACAAACAGGGTTAGCAATAATTTTAAAACAAAAAATAATTAAAAATAATTTAATAAACTAACTATAACATTTACTTTTAAACATTTTGCTACAAATTTCTTATAACAAAAAACAAAAAAAGTTTTAATAATCTATTAATCAAACATAAAATTAGAGCCAATAACAATAAATTGATAAAAACAAGAAGGTATAATTAAAAAGCCAAAAAGCTTTTGGTCAAATTCTATAAGAAGTCCCTTTACTTTAATAATATTTGAAATTATCCACTGTTGTAATTTATATAAATTTAGTTTTCATACTATTTTAATTTCGTAATCTTAATCTAATCATTGACTCCATCAATTTTTACAATTAAAAATGCTCCGTGACCATTGACTTAATAATGTGACCATTGACTTGATAATGTGATCATTGACTTTACTGATACGATAGCTTGGTGAGACGAAATTAATTGTTAAATTATGCAAATGATTTTTGTATTTATACGAAAATCAAAATGTAGTTCTTCGAATATAATTTCATAAAAAATTTATCCTCATACAAGTTGAATTTAATAATGTTGGTCCAATTACTAATAAAAATCATATTTTTTTATTTTTTAAATTGAATTTTTTTTTTTAAATAATATTTTGAATATTTTAGAATATTTTAATTTTTTTTAATATTAAATTTAATAGTTTATCAAAATTTTAATTTTGAAAAAATCATAATTTATGAGTTTTTTAAAATCATATTTTATTTCTTAAAAAATTAATATTTTGATTCTTTAGAAAATTTCTAGAATTTTAAAAATATTAATTTATTTTTTTAATATTTTAATTTTGTAAAAGCAAATCCATTTTTTGAAATTTTAACATTTTATTTAATCAAAATATTTATTTTTTGTTTTCATTTTTTTGGAATTTTTATAATTATTTTATTTATAATTATTTTCGTTTATTTATAAATTTTTCACATTTTTTAATATTTAAATGAATAAAAAATTATAAAAAAGGTAGGGTCTTTAGAATTTGTGTATTTTGATATATATGAGATGGAATAGCACAAAAAATTGAGGTAAAACAGAGTAATAGGGCACAAAGAGCTTTTGATTCCAATTTATTCTTCATTGAATAACATAAAAAATATGTAGAGAATTTCTAAAATCTATATTCTTTATAAAACACAAAAGTATAAAAATTATAAAAACTTTACACAAGAAACATAAAAATTAAAAAATATAGAAATTTTTATAAAAATTTTTAAATATTAAAAATATTAAAATTAAATATTTTGCTTAAATAAATGTTAGAAGTTGAAAAATACAAAACTTTCAAAAAATGAAATTAAAAAAAATATTGAAGACTTCAAATTTAATATTTTTTAAAAATAAAATCAGATTTTATAAAAATAAAAAATATGGTTTTTGAAGATTAAAATATTTTTAACATATTAAAATTAATATTTTAAAAATATAAAAAAAAACTCTAAAAAATTGAAATATGGTTTTTAAAAAGCCTAAAATAAAGTATGATTTTCATTAATAATTGGACAAATATTATCAAATTCAACATGTAAAAGACGAGATTCTTATAAAAATTATATTAAATGGACTAAAATTCAAATTTTATAAGTAGAAAAACCATTTGCATAATTTAATAACTGATTTTATTTATCCAAATATCACGTCAACTAAATCAATACTGATGTTATTAAGTCAATGATCATGCCATTTTTAACAATAAAAAATTGATAGAATTAGTGATTTGATTAAAATTATAAAATCAAAATAAAATAAAAACTAAATTTATACAAATTACAAAACATAGGTTACATTTCAAATTTTATCAAAATATAAGAACTTTTGACATAATTTGACCAAACTTTTCAGTTACTATTTAGTTTCGGTTTAAAAAATATATATCGTTTAATAACTTAGATAATTAAATAGGTTTAATTTAGTTACTTAGATACTTAAGTTTTAGACTTAGATTCTAAAACTATCAACGAGGGAGAACTAATAAAATAAAAGTTAATAACAAAGTGTAATGAATCTAATTTTTATTAAACAATGAATAGGCTTTACACGAGTTTTAAATGAGCTTTTAGTAAACCAGCTTTAAACCTACAAACCTCATTTCCTAAAAAACTAATGTTTTCACCAATTCATTAACTAAGTTTGATTTAATATATCTATAAATTTAATATGTTATATTTTAATATTTTAAAAGTATCAAATAAAAAACATGAAAAATTAATTTTTTTAGCTCATGAATCATAATTGGCATATTGTAATCAAATAGTTTAATATCATGAACAATCAAATAAAATGTTGCATAAAATAATTCAACATAAGCTCTGATACCCTGTTGGGATTAGAACACAATTAAGGCATGCATATATAGCATAATTTAAAAATTTTTTCAATGTCAAAGACAAAATCAAGCATTGATATCATGATATACAATAAGCATATAATTGGATAAGGTACGAAATTTTGCTTACAAAATTTCTTAATTTGATTTAAACACTAATCCTCCAAGATCACTAGGTTAGGTTGTCACAAACATTCATCTGCCCATGTATCTAGCCTCTAACTATAGTCCATGTATTCTTGGAGTTAAAGAATTTTCACCAAAATGAAAAGAATTTTTAAGCTGAAACACTATGCTAGTAGTATGTTACGCAGTAACCCTTTTTTTTGTTTTTAAATTTTTATGGTTTCTAAACACTAGAGACTAGGGAATAAGAAATGTTATATCCTCATAATAGTGCCTTCTTATTGTTAAATGAAGGTTAACCATAAGGTATTCAAATAAAGTGTCTAGCCTAACGAGGCATATGCACTCCACATACTATCTTTTAAACCTCCATTATGAATGACATAACCATAATTTAAACCTTCATTGTTTTTATGGTGGATTCATGCACTTTGTTACAGGCATCTTTTTATCATAAGGGCATTATGGACTTTTTCTTCAAAGGTGGCTTATCAACAAAAGTACAAGTAATTTTTTCATTTCGACTCAAGCTAACATGTCAGGCCAACCTGAAATTTCAGAACCCACATTAGCTCAATTAACTCAACTTTTCACCTAAAGGCACATAGAATGCTTACTTATTACCTCCTACTTGGATTGTAACCTATTAGGTCAAGTCGGGTCAAGATTTTTAGCCCTAAACTCATGACATTTTCACTCTACAAATATAAATAACTATTCTCATATCAAGTATATTCATTTGATTTTTCTCTTTTCTTAAGATTTTTCTCTTTTTTTCTTTTCTCGAATATTGACTTGAGTGTTGAAACATATACGTTAGAAAAACCTCTAGCCTTTGCTTTTAACCAACCTCTAACCTTGTGATTTTAGGTGTTGGCTTCATGAAGACAATTCGGCGCAAACATTTTGGCATAACAAATAAAAATCATTTGTTTAAACAACCAAACCAATCATAACTTTAACAAAAAAAAATTAAAACTCATTAAACAATTTTAAACATAATTTTTAAACCTATTTAAATTTTATATTAGGTCTTAAATAAAATTTAAAACTCAAGTCCAACTCAACTTAATCCAAATTCATATATATATGAATGCTGACTTATTATCTCTTACTTGAATTGTAACCTTCTAAGTTAGATCGGATTAGCATTTTTAACCGTAAACTTGAGACATTTTTACTCTACAAATATAAATAACTCTTCTCACATCTAATATATTCATTCAATTTTTCTCTCTCTTCTTAAGATTTTTTTTTTTCTTTTTTTTTGAGCATTGACTTGAACATCAAAATGTAAACGTTAAGTAAACCTCTAATATTTGCTTTTAACCGACCTCCAACTTTGTGATTTTAAGTTTTTAGTCTCGTGAAAACAATTCGATGCAAACATTTTGATGTACCAAATCAAAGTCATTTGTCTATCCAACTGAACTAATCATGACTTGAACAAAAAATTAAAACTCATTAAATGATTTTAAACATAATTGTTAATCCTATTTAAATATTATATTGGGTCTTCAACAAAATTTAAAACTAGTACTCAACCCCAATTCATATATATATATACATATACTCGACTGCTCCGCTGCAAACAAATGGACTTACAAATTCCATCATTTACGGAGCTGTAGCACGCTCAGTGATGATCCTCTAATAAGTTCGGCTCATACAAGACAATGCAGGAATTGCACTTCCTCTCGAAAACTGAAACATGATTCCCCCCCTTCACCCCCTTAGTCACAGGTTACAGTCTCACCATAAATATTTCCAGATTATCAGTGTAGTTTGAATGTGAAAGTAATATTTTAATTGCATGCCTTTAGATGTCCATTAGATATATAAAACAAAAATACAATGGTGGAAACATTGCCGCATAAAAATGTGGATCATGATGATAGGTCTATGGGATTGTGGGCTTCAATATCTACGTGCCGAATACCAGGAACAAGTTCTTGGATCTCCTTTTCCAGCCGATCAACTTCACTTCCTAAGGCTGTGACTACTTCCTCACCTGCAAAAAAAAAAAAAAAAAAAACAGCCCCTTTCCTTAGACATATTACAACTCATTTAGCATATCACTAGTTCATCAACTTGCATACCATAGTTTGACATGATCTTTAGCAATGCAGAATCATCTTTCTCCTTGGAAGCTTCTCGAAACTGTGTACAACGAAATTCCAGTTAGTCAAATGCATACAAAGCATAAAAAAAGACCAGGACGTGAAATTTGCATGAGTGGATTATTTAGAAGGCTTCAGGCTTCCTGCCTTGGTGCTTTTACCTCAACCTACCAGTGTTTTAAAAACCAGACGGAGATCAAACCAGTTGGATGTCCACTTCTCGATTCAACTGATCCAACCAGCCAATCTGATACAATTCTGACAACACTGGATTCTACTGCTCACTTCCAAGTAATATATGACTTTCTTTTGATAAGAAATAAAATCACTAAAAAGGGTACCAAGGAGTTGCCAACTCAAGCACTAAGAAAACATCAAGGATGTGCTTGGTAAAGTAGAAAAGTGAAAGGATAGACAAGGAAGAGTGGAAAAATGAAGTTTAAATGTGCTTGGTAAGAAATAAAAGTAAGACAAGAAGAGAGGAAACATGACCATTTTTTATACTTATTTACGAAAGCAAATTACTCCAAACTGAAAAGATAGAATAAGAAAAAATTAAAAAAAAAAAAAAGAGTGGGTCAAGTTTTGCATATTTACAAGATTATCCATCATATTTAGATTTTACATTTTCAACTTAATTTACAAAGGGTATAATGGTAAAATAATATAATTTCCATTTTCATTATTTTCATTTTTCGACTGTACCAAGCAATGGATGAAAAGAAAATTATATTTACTTTCAACTTTTCCATCTTTCCTGCCAAGCACACAAATGGAAAGAAAAAAAATGTTTTTTATCTTTTCACTTTTATTCTTTTTCATTTTTCTATCCATCTTACCAGGGAAAGCTTTTAAAAAATGCAAGTAATGTGTAAAGTATGCATGAACAAGCAAAAAAGTGGTGTAATGTTGATAAAACATGAAAACTTCAAACCATAAAACAAATAGTTAATAGCGTATTGACTGAAAAGGTTATAGTGAAAATTACATTATAATTTAAGTTGGATATATTCACAAGGGCATCATTTCATTTTGGAAAAGTTAATATACAAAATGAGTTGCACTTTAATACTCAATTTTTAGAGTTTATGCAAAAATATAAATGCTTGTATCAAGGAAAATGTTCATGCAGACAGGACAAACAGGCAAAATCAGTTAATTGGACAAGTATTAACATTTTCACATAGATAACTGCAAAAATAATTGAACAAGCAATGTGTTGAAGATGAAAAAAGAAATTGGAGACTTATACATATAACCTGTCTTGCCCACTCTTCACGCCCTGTTCTATCAAGATAATTTTGCACAACCACCACTCCATTGAAATCTGTAGCATACATTGTCACAGCAAAAGCAATAAATGCCAAAAGGTTTCAACTAGACAAATGTCAATGATTTATTTTAGCAGACAAGATCTAGCATAAATTCTGTGCCAGTAACCTAATGTCCATGATTTATTTGGACTCACAAGATACTTATCCTTGCCTACTCCAAAAATATGGACATCAGTATGAATTTTTTTTATAATTCTAGCAAGACCAACACATCCACGTTCATAACATATTAGTGTCATCAATGTGTTACCAACAAGACAACTAACAAAATGCATCTCTTGCTTTGCAATTAAACTACTTGTATTACACAAGATGAAGGAAATTTGCAAAAAAAATATTGCAATAGAAATTAATATTAAGAAAACTGATCCTAACAAATAATCAGCAAAAAAGAAAAGGCTGTGTGAGAAAATCACCTATCTCTGCCTTGAATCTAAAGAACCCAGGCCCAATCACCTCACTTTTGCAATCATATAAAGCGTCTACAACCTGAAAAAATTTTATGCCCCTCAAACCTTTCAAGGATGATTACAAGTGAAGTGGATTTCAAGTTAAATAATTGTAGAAGAGTTATACTGGGTCATTCTTCAAAAAATGGAGAACCTTCTGCATATCATGTTCATCAATTGCTCTTCCTATCAAGGCATGCCGGTTCCGCTGGATGAGAAATATTGCAACCTGCATAAGTAATATTCTTCAATTAGATATACCACAAACCCAAAGATGCTTGAAATTATTATAATAGCACAGCCATAAGACTATTAACTTGACTCTACCCACATAATTCCTCCCCTCCATCTCTCCCTCCCTCTTTCTCTTGCTCATTAACATACACTCACATGCGCATCTGTACAATGTCTTTTCTCAGAGAATCTGTCCAAAATGAACTAGAACTCCTAAAATCATCTCCAAACTACTGCCTAGTAGTCATTGCATCAGACACCAACTCAGGTTTTCCCACTTTCATAATGCCAAATTCCATGCATCCTCCAAACATCTTATGCCATCAATTAATTCTCAGGAAACAAAAGATCATTTTGAAAAATTGAAACAGAAAAGAAAAGATGGTTAGCAAACGAAAGTTATATATTACACTTAATCCCAAAAATAAACCAGCTAAAAATTATGAAAATAAACAATTGGCATTCCAAATATACCTAACTATCGCTGCATGGGTATGACAAACTATTTGTAATACAAAACTGAGAACATATGAACCCAATAAAAAACAAAACACACCCACAAGTATAATTCCATATGTATTAATCATCCATGAATCTTATTTCAGTAGCCTAAATCTTAATTAAAGTCATTCAATAAGTCATCCTTTCACAACATTTCATTACATAAGAAATGTCTAGAAATCCAGGCTCATCACCAAGGTTGCTCAATCCATCGAAGCACACAATAGTCTAGCAATATATGTAATGGAAAAACTTTGGAAAATACTTATACCAGATTATCCATTCCATAGATGACTTTCCAGCCAAACCTAACGCTGCAACTATGGTGAGGTATTTTTTGCCACAGTACTAAATATGGCATAAATCCAAAACAAATCCTACATACCACCTTGCTAGATAAGATTTTTGTAACTTGACTAAATTCTTGGTCTTATCCTCCTTCATACTTCATGGCATAATGTTTAGGCACACCCTTGTTCTTCGCCAATCAATTCCTAAAGACAACATAGTATGTTTCTCAGTAACCCATGAGAAAACACAAATTACCAAGGTCTAACTGGAAGCATATCACCATAAAAGCCAGATAGAATGGTCAAGAAAGCTGTGACTATGTCCTGAATTCAAAAAGAAACCAAGCTTCTAGTTCAGACCTAACATTACTTATGAACTATGAAAAAATAACAAATACTCAGAGTTTGTAAGCAAATATCAGGCAGCATTTGCTGAAATTCAGTTAAAATGTAAAATTTTCATGGGTAAGAAGTATGACATACCATTCCAAGAAGGCTGCCAACTATAATCGAGCCTATGGGATCATAAATGGCATTCCCAGTTGTATTCACTGCAACTAGTGATGCTGCGGCTATAGCAAGACCAGTTACTGCAGCACCGTCCTGCAAATATTGGCATAATCACTGTGAAGCAATTAGAGAAACAAACTGCAGTAGCTAGGAAAATTTCAACTATCATCACGATTCTTAATAATTTTTTTTAAATAACTGGAGAAAAACTGCACATGAGAAATGATATGAGGGTTAAGAAAGTAGATGAAAAGGTTATTTTGATAAAAATGAGTGGCACAAGAAGATTCAAAACTACGACCTAAAATAATTCCTTTTTTTTGGCCTTTCATACAGCCGACCCCAGAGTTATGGTACATAAAGCTTAGTTTGTTGTTTTTGTAGTTGGAGAAAAACTGTGCATAGAGGCATGTGCACACATGATAAGTAAAGAAGTTAGAAAAAGGAATTGGGAAAAGATACAGCATAGAGGTAACACATTCAACACTCAACATTATCCTTGAGGTAGGCAGAAAAGCGAATGGGGAAAAGATGCCAGGAAAAAGGCACAAGAAAAGCTTATCAACAATTTAAGTAACAGGTTTTCAATTTAGACGTCCAGTTGACTGCATTTTACCTTCAGGTCCTTCAAAACAATAACCCAAGCAAACATTTAAATGCTGTTCCAAACTTCCCAACTTCACATTTAACAAGTTAAGTTCTTTAACAACCAAAAGTGCACAAAGGCATAGTCAGTTACCTCTGTCATGACTGCAACAGATGTAGGATCATGGCCACGCCAGACATAATCCCTAACCTTCATTCCCTCTGCTGCTGCACCTTTCTTGACAGCTTGTATGGCAACAACAAGAGAAGCACCTGAAGAGAAGATATGATAGTTTAAAAAGGGAAATCTGAGGTTGAATGGCTTAAGCTAAATGCAATTTTTTGGACAATATAATAGCCTACAATCATAATGCTCCAAGTTATACCTTCAATTACAAATGAACCAACTATCACCAAAGCTGCATATTCAATGTTAGCCGGGGGCTGAAAAGGACAGAAGTAAATAAGCTGCCATTTGTCAAGCCAATGGCAATGGCTACAAAAGCAGGAATGAGGAAAAAATTAAAGCAGAGAACATATATATATACACACACACACACAGAAAATGACTTAGTCAAGTACATGTGCTGTCCACAGGTTTTGAACTCCATGAACAATTGTAGCACCAGAGCCGAGACAGAATATGCCAACAGCAGATATCAAGGACCATACAAATCTTTCCTTGGAATAGCCATATCTGAGAACGAAGAAGAGGTTTCAGCATATCCTTTAAAGAAATGAATCCTTAAAAGAAATGAACTTGCATCTTTTGTTTACAAATAATTCCCTGGTGTAGTGTCTTTGCAACAAATTACAACATAGGAATAAGCCAATAAAAAAAGTCAAGTAATTCAGTTGTAACAAATGTGTTATTAAAAAATATAAATTTCTTAACTTTCTAGTCTTGCTCAGAACAGCAACCTATTAAATTTAAATACTTGAATTCTTAAAAATCAAGGGATGATAATGTCAAGGTAGAATTCACAAAACAAATAAATACATAAATTTGATTATTTAGTGGAAATTTTAAAGGAGAACACAAAACCATGCAAAGGCACATCAAATATTAATGAACACTTAGATGCATGATGCTATACTGAAAAATCTTAACAGCAGGCAAAGGAGTTACTATGATTAATAAAGGTTATTTGCGCCATGGAAAAGAGACTTACGGATGCATAGCATCTGGTGCACGTCTTGAACTACTCAGACCATAAGCAAGCAGCGCCTACAATGCAACCTGGATTAGTTTCTCTTTATTACATAATCAAAAATTTAGTTATAAAGCAACAAATTAGTATCAAGGGATTAAATATAGCATGATTCTGACAATGATATCAAGAAGGGAGAACAATAAATGGGGAAAAGAAAAGAAAAAAAAAAGGTTTAATACCTGATTAGCAAAATCCGCAACCGAATGAACCATTTCAGCTAACATAACATGGCTAGAGGTTGCTAACCAGACACCAAACTTGAGAGAAAAGACAAGGAAGTTGCACCATAATGCAGTTGTAACAGCACGCTGACTAGAGGGTCAAAGATTTAGGGCAACAGGAAAAGGTCAAAGCAAATGGATTATAAATAAGCTGAGATATAGTGGCAAATCAACTGGAATCTAAGCATTCAGGAAAACACCCGATGGAAACAAAAAAAGAAAAAGTAATTTGATTTTCTTTTTCCAATTATAAGTATACCGCTAAACTATATGCTTGATGAGAAAAATATTTCAGCCTTCCCTTAGCCTCCATTTGATTCTTGCTTTTGTTATTTGCTAGCATTTAAAAAGTGCATTTGGATGCAAAAGCAAATCGCAAACAGCTAAAACAATTTCAATCGCACTTAAAACCCATGAATTTAAGGAGATTAAAAAAAAGAAAAGAAATGGAAGTACCTGTGTAGATCATTGATTTCAATCTTCTTTATTTGTTTAGCCCTTGTAAAAAAGCCTGAATAAATATAGATATTCAGTTTAAAACAATTTCCAAAGAAAAAAAAATACTCATTTACATATAAAAGATAGTACTACTACTTACTTCGATGGAAAGAGTAAAAATGCGTATGATGATGATAAAAGATGGGATCATCACCGGGCAATACAAAACCACCCAGCAGAACGAAATGTTTCGAAACTCTGACTTGTCTAGCAATTGTTGTATAGGGGTTAAATTGAAAAAATCCCTGATTTTGTGGGCCTAAAAAATCTAACTGGCAGAGATTGCTAAAGGATGAGTTGACAATGAGGGATGAAGAAGAGTGTTTGGCGGAGCCAAGGAGGCGAGAAACGAAACGACGCGACGTTTGCATCTACCTGAATTGCAAATTTTCCGGGAAGAATACTTTATTACTTTTTTTTCTTTTCCCGGAAAGTTGAAGTTGAATTTGGTACGAATTTTCTCTTTTTCTTTTTTGTTTTATGTTAAAGAAAAAGATAAACCCATTTTGAGGTTTAGGGTTCAACAAACGAAGGGGGAAAGTGGCGAAAGGGGGATGCTATTTGGTTGAAGACGTGAAAAGAATGGTTTGATTACAGAAGCACAGCAAGAGTCATATATGGTATCCCTCTCTCTTCTTCATTGAATGTTCTTTAATTTTAGCAACAGGAGAAACAGCTGGGAAAATGAGCTTCCCAAAACAAAGATAAAATTAATAAAAAAAAAGATTAAATAAATTTTTCGATGAAGTATCCAAATTTCTACACCATCAAGCATTTTAGTATTTCAAACTAATATACCAATGAGTGTTTGGCTCAACTTACAAAAAAATTTATCTACGATAAAGACAGAAGTTAGATTTGAATCTCAAAATTTTAAAGATTTTAGATTATATAAAAAGTAGATTTGAATTTTTAGAGAAAACTACGAGAAGCTACTTCAAGAAGTGTTTACTCTTCGATAATTCAAAAAATTATAACTAGAATTATATTAATTTACATTTTTTTTATTTTGTTCATTTTTCTTTTAATTTCTTTTTTATTATAATTAAGAATATTTTATTTTATTTTATTTATTTTTTCACTTAAAAACTTGTGATTTAATTTGTTAATAAAGTTGATTATTTTAATTTTTTAAAAATACAAAAATACTATCAAAATGGTTTTTTCAACATTTTATAGCACTTTTGTATTAAATTTGTTAAACATTATTTTAATTTCTCTTTATAGCACTTTCATTTTTAAATAATTTTATTTCAACAGTAATTTTTATAAAAGCTCTAGTTGAGCCAAACAGACTTTTAGTTAAGTTGCTTACATAATAAAATCATTACACGTGACATAAGTCTCTAATCGTCATCACATCATTTTATTATCAAATCAACATTTAAATAAAAAATTAAAAAATTATATTTTTATTTCAAAATTATAAAAAAAAAAAAAAAGAGGAAGGCAAGAGGTACAGAAAAAAAATGAAAGGGAAAAGAAAGGTCTCGTTAGTGCCTAGCAGTTAGCCAAGGCTGGATTAAGGTTGATATGCTCCAAACTTGGAAGAACAGCGTTGACCTATCTTATTTGACCCAAATCGATGTTGATCTATTAAGCCTGAGATAGATTAACCTCACTTTGTCTTAGGTTGATCAATGACGCCTCTCCTTCCCCTTTTCCCTCATTTTTTCCTCTTTCTTTTTTCTTTCTCCCCAATCCTTTCTTATTTTTTCTTTTTTATTTTTTAAAAATAACATTTTGATTATTTTTATTTTTGAAAATTTTTGTTGATAGAGAAATGATTAGACATTTATGACATGCAACAGTAATAATTCAAAATATTAAAGTTTTTGATAAAATAAAAGTTAAAATATTTAAGTACGAGTTTTATTTCTTTAAGTATAAAATTGACGAAACATATATAGTACATATATCATGATTGCCACTATGAGTGCACAAATCGTAACCAATAATAGAATAATAAATAGAATATCATTCTCACAAAAATTATAAATAAAATTAATACTAAGTGTTGAAATTATAAATGCAAAAAATTATGAAGAAAAGAAAAAAGAAAAAGTAAGAGAAAACAAAGTGAAAAACAAAACAATAAAAGAAAAATAAAAAAATAAAATGATGGGGTGGCAAGTGTGAAAAATAAAAAAAATAAATGTCCTAAAGGAAACCCTTCGTATGATATGAAATGATCATAGGCCTGATTACCATTAAACACATTTTTGGGCTTATTTATCATTTCCTTCATAACCGCAAACCTTTGCCAACGTTATGTATTTTGAAAACATCATTTTGATCAAGCATGAATGCTTAAAATAAAGAGTTTTCCCTTATAGAATCACCATATAATCGATGAGTTTTTTGTCTTCTTTCACTATCTAACTATCTATTTGGACCATTAACCCATTTCGAATAAAAATTAGAATATTAAATGCATAATAAAACAATCAAGAAAAAACAAACAAAGGAAGAATATGGCTCTATGGTGAAAATTCCAAAAAGGGATAGTTTAAAACAAATTTGAAAACTTTGAAACCAATCGTAATGCTTAACAAAAGACGAAAGGTCATTATAAAATGAGCCAAACTCTTGAAAGATTCAAGAATGTTAATGTTTTAAAATTTTGGAATAAATTAAAAAAATCAACTTTGAAAATGTAAGCCTTCTTTCTTTCTTAAATGACCTTTCAAAATCTTGAGTTTATTACAACAAGTCTTGACATCAATCAAAATACCACATTTAGAGAGTAAAAAAAACGTCAAATATGCTTGATTTTCAAAAAATTCATGCTTTCTCAAAAAATTTATGTTTTATTTATAAACCTAGATAGAAGAGTATACATCTCTATCGTTCTTGTCAAATTGTGAAATTTTTTTAAATGAATTGAAACCATGATGTGCTGAACCATTCAATCTGTTTAAAAAAAAAAAATTGTCACCTATTTCATTTTCTAATAAGGAATGCTAATTTTCAAGACTCAAAAGTCATACTTGTTGGATATTTCATTGTCTTTGACCATAAAATTTAATTATGTAGGGGTAATTGTGTTGGTCATTTTGAAAAAATTTTTGATTGACTTGTCATATTTTTGTGAAAAATAAGAAAATCATGTTTAGTGTAAAAGAAGACTATCAAATTATGAGAACTTTTAGACTAGGTCAGATTTAGCAATTAAAGTTTTTTAAATAAAAAGAAAAAGAAAAAAGAGTTTTGTTATATAAAAGGAACATGGTGGTTTGTCTTATTGATTTTACAATTGAATCTGAAATGCATATTGCATATTGTGTGTTGAAAATGGAAACAAAGAGGTAAATGAAAGGAAAATCAATAGAGCATGTTTGAAAGCAAAGAAAGCAAAAATTGGTAAAGAGCAAGATGAAAATAGGTGAAGGAATAAGAGAAGATAAAATTGAAATCCTTTTGGAAAAAAGTTTAAGACTTATTTAATGGGCAACGAGAAATAACCAAAATTGAGAAAAGAAAATTTTGAAAAAGAATGGCATTTTTAGCGTTTGCATATTTTGACATGCATTTACATTACCATTTTAAATATCAATGTTTGCATCCATGTTGAGATACATGCATCATGAAATTTGTTTATTTGTATAAGCATTAGCATTTTTTAAATAAAATTTTGTAATTGTAGGAAGCATTCACATTATTGAAAAAATAGTTGAATTTGCATATTTGCATTTATACCTTTAAGGCATCTGTATCATGAATGGACATTCGCATTTGCATTTGTAGGGGCATCTACATGAAAAAGAATATTGGTATTTGCATTGTTGGAATAAGTTTTTCATTTGCATCTTTATTAAGCATATTTGTTAGGTACATCCATATCATGGAAAAGGCATTTGCATTTTAATCACTAGAAAAGAATTTTGCATTTGTGATCATTTGCATTGGTGTAGAAATATTCACACTTTCACCATTTATCTTAAGATTAGCATTTACATCATAATTACATTTATCAAGTTTTCAAACATCGAGAAAAAATAAGAAATATGATGTTCTTTTGAGCTTTGGAAAATAATAAATGAAAGGAAAATTATTGTAGAAAAAGTTTGTCAAGGAAAAAGCAAAAGAGAAAAAAGAATTTGATGAGAAAAAAAGGAAAAATATCAATAAAAGAAAAAATGAGTTTATCCAAGAAAAAGGGAAATTGCCAAAAATTAGCAAAGATACATGATATCTAGAGAACAAGAAGAATGAAAAGAGTTTTTTTGAAAAAAAAATAATATTTTAAAGATGAGATCCATTGGTTTTTAAATCCAATCTAGTTGGCAATGAGATTGTTAAGCCCAAATAAGTTGACATTGGATGAGATTATTTAAGCCCAATCTAATTGGCACCGAGATTTTAAGTCCAATTAAGTTGCCATTGGATGAGATTTTTTAAGCTTAATCTAGCTGGCATTGAGATTTTGAACCTAGTTAAGTTGGTATTATTTGAAAGTTTCTTAAGCCCAATCTAGCTGCATTGAGATTGTTAAGCCTAGTTAAGTTGGCATTGAATAAGATTTTTTTAGGCCTAATCTAACTAGTACCAAGATTTTAAGTCCAACTAATTTGGCATTGGATAAGATTTTTTAAGCCCAATCTAATAGACATTAAGATTTTGCAGTTAAGTTGGCATTAGATAAGATTTTTTAAGCTTAACCTAGCTAGCATTGAGATTTTAAATGCAGTTAAATTGGCATTGGATGAGATTTTTTAAGTTCAATCCAGTTGGCAGCAAGATTTTAAGTCTAGATAAGTTGGTATTATTTGAGTTTTTTTAAGCCCAATCTAGCTGTATGGAGATTGTTAAGCCTAGTTGTGTTGGTATTGAATGAGATTTTTTAAGTCTAATCTAGCTGGTATCAAGATTTTAAGTCCACTTAAGTTGGCATTAGATGGGATTTTTTAAGTCCAATCTAATAGGCACTGAGATTTTGCAGTTAAGTTGACATTAGATGAAAATTTTTAAGTCCAATCTAGCTGGCATCGAGATTTTAAGCCTACTTCAATTGGCATTAGATGAGATTTTTTAAGTTCAATATGGCTAGCACTGAGATTTTAAGTCCAATTAAGTTGGCATTAGATGAGATTTTTTGTAAACCCAACCTAATTGGCATCAAGATTTTTAATACAGTTAAGTTGACTTTGAATGAGATTTTTTTAAGCCCAAGTTGGCACCCCATAACTCCTAAAAGCTTTCAAAAAGGAATTTTACAGTGGAAAAACCTCCGAATAGAGAACTTTTTCAAAATAAGGCATGAGTTGTACGACCAACAGGCATAATTTATAAGACGTTTGAAAATTATTCAATCTTAAATGCCATAGCCTTAGTTAAAGGAGTTTTTCAAAGTGTCATAGCCTTTAGTTAGAGAAGTTTTCAAATTTAAAATTATGAAAACTCTGTTTAGAGGAGTTTTTAAAATTTAATTGTGTAGAAAGCTTTTGCGTTTTTCTTTTTTTTTTTTGAAAAAAAAAAGAAAAAAGTGTTTACATTTGTAATGGCATTTTAGTCTTTTTAGTTATCTTCATCTAGACAAATTTGTTATCTTTTGGTTTTTATCATATTCTTAATCCTTACCAATATACAAAGAGGAGCAACTATAAATGCCCATTTTGTCCAAAATATTAAATGTTGTTTTGAAATAAACCCAAATCAATTTTTGATTTCATTCAAGTATATTTGAGCATCTTACTTGAGTTTGTTGAATTATTTTTGTATGGAATCCAATCAAAATTTAAGGCAAAAGTTTGAATCTATTATGAAGCTCAAATTTGTTCTAGATTTTAACATGATTTCATCAAACTAAAAAATTCAACAAAAAATTAATAATAAATTTCTTTTAAAATTTATTCATTTTATCATAAATATGATTATGATTATTTTTAATTTAATTTAATTTTTCTTTTCTTTCTTTTCTTTTTTTTTCTTTTCTCTCCTCTAGTCAATGTGCATCTAGTGCACTAATTGCCAGCCTCCTTGCCTAATTTTGTAACTAAAATTTTCAAACTTAAAAGTCACCATGATAGTCCTAAAACTTTCCGCAATCCTTTCAAATTGAGGATTTGATAACTGTTTGGTTTTATAAGTTAAGATCTAATTTATAGAGAGAAAACAATAACAATGACAAAAAAAAAAAACCTATTCTGCCATTCTACTCAAGACTTACCAACCCCAAAATCTAGCCAAATAATTTTTAGCCACATTCCCAAAGAGAACTTACAAAAATTAAAAAATAAAAATAAAACTAAAAATAAAAAGTTTGATCTAGGCATTTTGGGATTTTTTTTAAAAAACTAGTTGAAGAAAAGTGTTTTGGAGATTAAAAGGATTATTTTGGAAATTTTTGAAATTTTTTTGGGATTGACCAAATTTGGAAAAAAATTAATTTTTTTTTTTTGTGATTGGTTGAATATTCCAACCATCGGAATATAGAAAACCAGCCAAAATATGAAAAATCTTTAAATTTTTAGGTTTTGGTTAAAGTTTCTAGTGATGGCATAGTAACAACCAACCAAAAATTGGGTTTACATGATGGTTAACGAAGAAAAGGAGATTTTCTAGAGAGAAAAAATCCAAAGGAAGAGAGAGAAAGAAAAAAGAAAAATAGAAAAAGGTCATTAAATAGCCAATTAAAATGACATTGTTTTGGTGTGCCCAAATACGTGCCCTAACCCATTGACCTAAGTATTAACCTATATGCCTGACCCAACCTGTATGTAAGTTTTTATTTTATTTTATTTTGTTATTTTTATTTAATTATTTTAATATTAAAGAAAATAAAAAAATGATTATTTTCTAAAGAAATAAGCAATAATTTTAATAAAAATATGAAATCAAGATAAATAATGACTTTTAGTAAAATTTAACAAAAGTAAAAAATAATTAAATCTCTTTTTAAAAGGTAGTTATTAAGGAAAATTAAAAAAATACTTTTTTCTTAACGTCTGCAAATAAAAATAATTCTCAAATTTCACCTAAATGTTGGAATAATTTAAGAACTTATTTTTGCTAAAAATAAGAATTCTACAATTAATAAATGAATTAAAAATAACAGATAATTTGGATAAATATTTTGAAATGTAAATTTTAATGAAAATAGAAAGAGTTCAAAATTTTTTCTAATTTTAATAATTAAAAATATGTTTGGATTTTTTCAAAAAGTTGGGATAATCTAAAACTTATTTTTACTAAAATAAAGATCTATTTAAATAACCAAAATAAATAACATAAATAACATAAAAAATACTAAATAAAGTGTTTATTTGAATAAATCTTTTGAATGGAAATTTTTATGAAAAATTGGAAAAGTTTTATTTTTCTTAATTATTATTACAAAAAATGACTTTTAAGATTTCACTAAAGAGTAGGATAATCCTAAAACCAAATTTACAAATGAAAGTTTTATTTAGATAATCACATAATAATAAATAATTATAATAATTTGTAAATAAAATAAAATAAAATAAAATAATCATAATTAATTTATAATACCTTAAATCATACATGTTGTTTGTGAATAAAAAAATACCTCGGGATGAATTTTTTGGAATTTTGTGAATAGTTAATTTTATCAAAAGTTTATTGAAGATACTTTTTATAAATTTTGTCAAAGTATTGGAGAATTTATAGAATGTGTAAATAATAATTTTTATCCAAAAAAAGCCTTTTCCCATCCATAAATTTTTATAGAATTAATTTCAAACATTAAAAGACACCATATTACCAAAATTAAAACATAATACATGTTTAATTAATACTACTCTTTCAACAAGTAATGTGAGAGTGTTGATACATTCCTCATTTATAATTGTGTTTTCAGACCCAACTCTAATTTTGCAAACCAAAATATTTTTAGTAAATCTTAATTAAGTTTAAGGTTTTTATTAAAAGATAATATTTTAGCTGACCAATCACACTTAATTAAAAAAAAATAGTGGTAACTCTGTAAATTTTTTTCAAATCTAGCAATTGAGTCTTATAAAACAAAAAATCATTACGATAGGTAATAAACAACAATAAGAAGATAAAAAAAGTGAGAAAATTGATTTTCAATTGAGATGGTAGCGAAGGAAGGTGGAGAAAAAAATGATTAGGAGTAGCTTATTTAACTTGAAGAATGGGGTTTGTATGTAACAAGTAGATTTGATTTTCACAAGTAGATTAATCTAAACTTTGACCTAAAGGATGGACTGGCCTCTCTAGTCCTAATATGAGATGCGAGAGAAGCCAAATCCATGTTGCCTAAAGATTTTAATTGATCAAATTGTCTTTGGGTTTATCTTATTTCTAATTCAAGTTATTTTAGATTCAGACAATTTCATACTTGAATAGTTATAGATTTGAGACCTCTCAAATTGGGTCATTATAATTTTGAGTCCTTTTAGATTTCAATAGTATTTAGACCATTATGAATTCAAGTATTTTCAAGTTAGGGATAAATACACATTTGGTATTTTTATTATATACTTTTTGTTAATTTGGTATCTAAAAAAATAAAATTATTAGTTTGGTACTTTAATTTTTATTTCATCATCCTTTTTGATATCTCAAACTAACGCTTTCAATCAATTTGTTGACATGACATGAGCATTTAATAAGATACTAACATATATAAAAAAAATTCAATCAACCATACATCATCAATTGCCAAGTCAACATTATAAAAATTTTAAGAAATTTTAAAAAACTCAAAATTTTTTTAAAAATAAAAAATTTTAAAAACATTCACAAAACCAAAAAAAAAACTAAAATTTAAAAAAAATCTAAAATATTTTAAATATTTTTGAAAAATTAAAAAAAATTTAAAATCTAAAATATTTTGAAAATTTTATAGAAAATAAACAATTATGAAATTTTAAAAAAGTAAAAAAAATGACAAATTTAATAACATCCAAAAAATTCAAAAAAAAATTCTGAAAATTTAAAAAATAAAAATTAAGATTTTTTATTTTATTCTTTATCATTTAAAATTTTTTTATAATTTCGAGAATGTTTCAGATTTTTTGACAATTTTTAATTTTTAAGGGTTTGTTAAAATTTTTCAAAACTTTTTTAAAGTTTTCAAAATTTTTTGAAAAAATTTAGATTTTTTATTTTTCAAAATTTTTAAGTTTTTCTTTTATTTTAAGAAAAATTTATTTTTATTAATTCATTTTTTTTGAATTTTATAGATTTTTAAAAATATTTTATTTTTATTAAATTTATGAGTTTTTTAATTTTTAAAAATATTTTTCCTTTTTTTATTTGCATAATTTTTAAAAGTATTTTAAAATTTTTAAAAAGTTCTTTAAAATTTATAAAAAATTTTTAAAATCTTGTTTTAAATTTTTTTTTAATTTTTTAATGCTTATGTGATAATTGATGATATGATATTAACTGAATTATTTTATTACGTCAACATTTTATTAGATATTTATGTCACATTAATAAATTAATTGATAACATTAATCTAAAATACTAAAATAAATGATGGAATAAAAATTCAAGTATCAAATTGACATTTTATTTTTTAAGTATTAAACTGATAAAAAATATATAATAAGAGAGACAAATAAATATTTAACCCTTCAAATTTCAATCTTTCAAGTTCAATTAGTCACAAATTAAATATTATTTGTGTCTTTTTGGATGTCGAATTGGACCCATCTCGAGTTTGAATAATTATAACTTTAAATTAAATTATTTCAAATCCAAATTGTTTCAAACTCAAGTCATTTTGAGTTCGGATCCTCTTTTTATTTCTGTTCTCAAAATTAAATAAAAAATCAAAATCTCAAACAAATTTTAAATTAAAAAATTAACGTTCAAAATTCAGATTAAAAAAAAACCTTTTTTGGGAAAAAAAAAACCCTTAAAAATCCTAAATTCCTTCTAACGAATCAAAATAAGTTAGATGGTTGGTTAATTGATCTTTTCCTCATTAACGCAACGAAAAAAAGTTAAATAATTAACCTTATGTTAATTAACCAAGAAGAAATACCCTTCCTAGGTCCAAATATGCATTGTGTCCTTATTTCGACGGAAATCCAGTTTTAGGGTCAATGATGATGGATCAGAACTTTTATTTGTGAACATTATAGTACATCAAGTACTTCGATATGGCATGGCATGGCACACGTGAAGACAAAAGTACAACCAAAAAAAAAAAAAAACAAACAGAAAAGAGAAGAAACAGGTTGAAATCCCTTTCCCCAAAGAAAAATAAAAAAGAAAGAAGAAATGAAAGCTCCAAACCTAGCCACAGATGCCTGACCTGTCCGTAGAGTACTAGATTTTTAGTTCCAGTGATCAAGGTTCAAATACTGACACCTCAGATTAAAAAAAAAAGAAATCAATAGCTAATACTCCTCATTGCAGCCTAAGCCCTTAAATCATCACTACCAAAAGTAATGGAGAAGGTGAGAAATAGTAGAACATAAAATGATTTGATACAGCGAGTATATCATATTTGGCGTATGAGCCTTCAAAGATATTGTGTAAGATCAAAAATTATAGTAACGACATGACATTTCTACGTAACTCCACATCATTTTCGATAACTCTTTTGGAACCCCTGAAGGGAAGGAACTTCAATCAATGGCAATGATGAGAAAACCAACAGATACATACATAAGAAAAACAGGATAGAGTGCAAGAGCTTTTCTCCTCGGATTAACAGCTGAACTCATGAAAGGATAGGCGGCCCATGAGCTCCAGGCCAATGTCACACAGACCACGATCACTTTGACTATGACATTGTCCTTCAACATACAGATTAAGGCTCCGATGTCCAGAGGGAATAGACAATAACCTAGAAGACTCAGACTCTGGAAAAAAATGATATGCCCACCCTGAAACCATGTAAAAGAAAAAACTTCAGCAGAAGTCGTATGCTTATCATCTATGCAAGCCTTTTATACAAAAATTTCAAAATAATGGTATCAAATTATACGTAAAATGAGAATTCCCCAACATAGTCAAAATTTTACTCGTAAATAAGAGAGGTCATTACCAGTAGTAGTACATTCAATGTCAAGATCACAGCACCAGCTGCAAGCAGTGCAAATGCCACAGCAAATACCTCAGACTGGAACACATTTTAAGAGGATAAAAGTTAGTACTGAATAACTAAAAACCATGATAATTTTTTATGATAAACAGAAAATAGGATATATATATATATAGCAGAAAAAGGGAAAATGTTCTAGTAAAAACATAAGAGATACTTGTTATAGAGTGAAAATATGTATAACAGAAATAACTTGCAAGAATATCAATGTCAGATTAAAAAAAAAGGTAGAAAAGATGAGGCAAGATTTCAGGAAGAGAAATCACAAATATGACACAAGGAGAAGGAAGATCACAAGTAATCACAAAATTCGATGTGATGATATCTCTTCAAAATGTAAAGCATCATCATCACGCATCAAAAGATCTTGAAGGAATTTCATGCAAATAGGCAACTTAGAACCTTGGGAGGCTATCTCCAATCTGTCCTAGATCGACCTCAATTCTTATCAGTAAATGCAGCTGGATCATCTCCATCTCTAAATGGAAGAGGCCAAATACACAAACAGTTGTACATGTGGCCATGCAGACAGGTAAGTAAACAAAATAAGGTCACTTAAATTGAACGATAACTTCATTTACAATCAAAACCTTGCAAAAGTCCAAAGGACTACGAATCCTAATCATCTAGCTTCTAAGTTATGACTGGTGAGTACTAGATCTCATGAAAAATCTATGACTTTGAAGGAGAGACTGGCATTCCAAGATCACTAAGCTTATCAAAAGAACCAAAAAACTGGACGTTGCAAATAATAATAGGTGCAGCTGAGAGTAACAATAAACAAACTATTGGAAAGATGCATAGACTATATATCTGACCCTAAATCCAAATCTTAAGAATTGCAACTTGCGTTCAAGACTAGAGTTGTCATAAATAAACAAATCTTCAAGGCTAGACAGGTGTTGCATGATGTTTTGCACTTACACACATGAAAACCCTTGCAAAACTATCAAATACAACAACAATTACAAACTATGCATATTGCGCCATTTTGCTCTATATAAAACTATCAAATGATGGAGATAAATTAGAAATATAAACATCCAAGTAAATGACTGGGGAAAAATAAATTACAGACAAGACACATAGCCTTAAAGAAGAATCCTTATTGAATTCCAATATAACATAGGGGTCATTGGTTACATATATAAGAATGTATTATTTAAGTGCTAAATAGGAAAAGATGCGCAGCAATTCAAATCCTGCATCAGAAACAGCTGCTTCGATCCATCCGTCAAATAGACACATTTATCTACCATAACCAAAAAAGAAAATCCCAGTCCATGCAACTGGCAATTATTGTGCAACTGGCAATTATTGTAATAAAAAATAAATATTTATAATTCAAAATTTGAAATCAATAACGTAGAGCATCATTTAACTTTAGACGGAATCAATGGTGGTGTTTTTTTTGTTACTTCCACCGATGGTTCTATTTTTTTGCTTCCAAAAGCAAAACGCAAAAAGTGCATTTTGATGAAAAAGAAAATTTCATCAGATTTTCTTTTACAGAATCTACAACAAGTTTCATCATATTTTAACAGCTAACAGTCAAAATTTCATAAGAAATTAAATATATGCACATCAAATCAATTTCTTAAACACCAAAAAGAAAAGAATATAAAAATGTAAAAAAAAAAAAAAGGTAAATTGAAATCCAGTACGAGAACAAACCTTCTTAACGGAGGCCGACCAAGAAAGAGTGAGCCCCAAGAAGACAATGAAGAAGAAAGGACCCCACAGATCCCAATCTCTCAAAGCCTTTCCTGGATCTTCTCTATATGGATTGGGAAACACCACCAGCTTCAAGTTACTCACGATCCTCGACAGATCTCTTTTCACCGTGTCCCAAACGGGCTCTGTTAGGGTGTTGGGCGGGGGACCGAAACCCGTCGCCACGATGCTGCTAGAGTTACCGACGGGTGGAGGAGGAGGAGGGGCGGAAGGGACAGACGGCACCTTCTGATTGGACGATGATGAGGAGAGCGGCGGGGGAGGAATGTGGGATTGGATGAAGGGGGAAGAGGAGACAGGAATGGAGGCCCTAGGTGGGCTTGGAGGACGGGCCGGGAGGACAGTTGCAGGGCCGGATTGGACACTGGAGTTGATTAGATTTTCGATCTCGTCGATGTCCGATTGGGACGACGCGTGAAGAGGTATCGTATCGCTGTGCGAATTTGACATTTTTTTATTGAAACAAAGTTATCTTTCTTTGTTTGAATCTGACTCTGAGAGAAGGATGAATGAACGAGGAATTGAGAGAGAATCTGTGTATGCGTTCGTTGGGATTTTCATGTTCTTTCTCTATTTTTCTTGGAAGTTATTGTTTGTTGTCTTGCTCGTGCCCGCTAGCATGAAACGTCGTCGTTTGCAAGCTGACGCGATTGTGATACGACATTGAACAAACGAGGAAAGAGTGGGATTTAACCAACTAGTTTTAAAACCATGCTGATGTACAAATCAATTATAATTTTCTTTAAATTTATTTAATATTATCTAAAAATTGAATGTATTTTATTTAAAAAATAATTAATTATGATTTAAATTAAATAAAGTACTCATGATAATTTATTTTAAATTTAATTTCATTAATGGCAGTAATATATATACATAAATATTTATAAAATTATATTTAATTTCGTGGATGATTTTACCCAAAAAAAATTTGTTTTTTTAATTATTATATTAAATCCTATAATTTAGTAGAGTTTTTCTAATAGAGTTTCTCATATGTATATATATAAAAAAATAGAGTTTCTTCTTAGATTAGGGGTTACTTCATCTAAGTAATGTATGAATAAAGAAAAACTAATTACATAATAATATTTTGGTTTTAACAATATTGCGGTGAAGAATGATAATTTATTAGCTATTGTCGGATTATCAAAATCTAATAATACGCTGTGGACTTTAAAAGTTAAAAAAAAAAATCATACAAAATGAAATATATACAATGTAGTAAATTAATTAATTAATTTATGAAAAATTAATTATTTAAGTGAAAAAGGGTAATAATCTCATAAAGTATGTAAAAACTATAATGTGCAAATTTTCGAGATTTAAACCAAGGCATGCAAAATGCAGGGAATTGATTCTTTCTGCTATTTAAAAATCAATGGAAGTTTTTTATTTTATATAAGGGTGGTAAATGTATTTTTAACTAAATTTATAATTAATATTTGTTCAAATATTTTTACCTATTAAATTATTTTTTATGTTCAATTTGAAATTATTAAATTTCAACCATTGATTTAATTGCAAGTGCGTTATTCACCTATAAATAAAGTAATGAAAGTTTCTACTGATTTTTAAATAGTGAAGAGTGTCTTTTGCTCAAAATGTACGTGCCTGCGATCTTTTTTTGCTGCGAACTTCGATTTCCTTTGCTTGTAGCTAGGTATACATGATTTTCTCTATATTTTAAGGTCGGTATTTTAACTCATCGCTGACGGATTTTGACCTAACCCGATACTACGAGGTTTTTTGTTTTTTCAAAATTCGAATTTTGAGTCGAGTCTGATAAGATTAAGAAACAATCAAAGTCAAATTGAGTTCGGGTTTTAGACAAATCCGATTCGATCCGACTTAATATTATATAAAAAATTATTTTTTAATTAATTATTTAAATTTTTATTTATGTATATATTTATATAGTGATATTTTTAAATATTTATATTTAAAAAATAATATTTTATATTTTAAAAAATATTTTATTAATTTCGAGACGGGTCGGGTACGATTTATATAATATTGAATCGGATTCAGATTCGGGGATGACAAACAAAAAAAAATTTCGGATTCGGGTTTGATAACACATAAAGTCGCGTTGGATTTGGGGCGAGCAAAACCCGCTCCGAATCCGACCTGATGTCAACTCTATATATTTCATCTGCATTTCTTCAATTAAGCTTTTAGTCGACAATGATTTTGCCCATTTGTTAGGATAAATTCTGAAAAATGTTTCTGCTTTTTGTAATTTATTTTCTTTGTTGAAAACATTCAAATACCATTGACATATGAAATAAATTAAACACTTAAACAAATTATCGGTAGCATTGTTTATTGAGCATGAATCGTTTGGTCCCTTTTTTTTTTTTTTTTGAAAAGTATTGAAATTAGAAGAAAAAGAATCAATAGTCAGCTTAAAAAGTCATTAGTTAGCTAATGATTAAACAAATAAAATAAAGTATTTTTTATTTAAATACAATAAGAGAGTTATTGTATATACTTAAGTCACCATAAACATGCACTTATAAAAACCAAATAAGATCAAACAATCTATTGCTATTGTAAAAATAAAACCATAACTGTAACATAATTTTATATTTACATAAGAAATAAGAAATAGCTTTAATACTAATTAAATAAAAATCCAAACTATAAATAAAGAAAGTAGCCAAAATCGGTGACATTGTGACAAATCCAACAAAGAGCACAAATTAAATTAAACTAGAAGGATGCTTAGGCTTTGCTCTAGATCTATTATTAATATTTGATTAAATTAATTTGTAAAATTGTGAGAATATTTAATTAAAATAATAATAAAATAAAATGAAGCATTGAACGATTAAAATGATATGAAATAATTTTGTTTTCCGATAATGAAATGACTTGTATGAGAAAGACATGCAGTGATAAAAGCTTTTAATGATTTTTTACTTTGGTAAAAAACTCTGAAATCTTGCAAACAATGGGACAGTGATTGTAGTCCTCCACTAAATAGACAATAACCATTTTCAAAGGTTAGTCGAAGGATATTGTGGCAGAAAATAAACCTCTCAATGCGGACCAAGGCAAAGATGAAAGAAACAAGTAGCTTTTATGAGTTATATAGTTAAGAGGCAACTGAGTAATTAGCTCAAAAGATATATAAGTAAGAGAAAATTACCTTGCACTATTGGTTTTCTATTTGTCAATATCCAAGGCATCTATGCTAACATATAGGAATATAAATGTTTCTGCAAAGAATGAAATTGTTGCAAATGCATGCTTTAAATTATCGACCAGTATGGAGACTAAGGATTAAAACATGTCAAAAGGAAATCCATGAAAATAATTCATAGTTAAGCATGGAATCAACATTTATTTATAGTATTTTAATGATAAATGCTTTTACTTTGTTGTTATCCTTAAGTTTTTAGTAGCATTATGCCATGTGTAGTGTGACATGACAATGCCACAGAAGAAAACTGTCAAAATCCCACTCAGACTCAGTAGCTGCAAGAAGAAAGTAAGTTTATTACATTTAACAATTGCAGTGCCAAGTCATGATTTTCCAATGGCAATTTCATTTGTTATTTTTTCTTTCTACAAATGAATAAGAAAAGGAAATGAAATTAAGGAATACTTTTGAGATTTTTTTATTGTACCTCAGCTAACATATATGATAAATAAGCCATGATCATTATGAGAGTAACTTCCCACTCAGTTGAATGCCTATATTTTAAGAACAGAAGGCCATTGCTCATGAATTGTCTTTAAGAAATATTAGTAACAAATGCATCAACAAATAGCTGAATAATCAAATTGAAAAACCCAATCCATGCATGGCACATTCAAGTTACATTGAACTCAAAAACCCATTTCAAGAAAACTCACCTTCGACAAACTTATTCACAAAAACCTAATTCCTGAATTACTCTAAAAACAGCCAAATTTAAATCAAACTATGAACACAAACATCCCAACATGAAACAGCGCAGCACATTTAACAAAACATCAGAATAAACAAAATAAATAGCTCAAACTACCTAAATTAGAAAATCCAAGCCAAAAAAAAAGAAGAAATAAACAATATCCAAATAGGAAAAGAAGCTTACCAATCTTCCTTATGGATCAAAGAATCAAGCCAAAGTGAATAATATCAAAACTAACAGATTGAGAGATGTAGTGAATATAGATAGCACATTCAAAAAGAGAGAGGTCATAGGTTTTCATTTCTTGAAGTTCCTTTTGGTAATTTTCTAATTACCAAAAACACATTCAAAGCACTCCTCACTGTGACTTCCATAGAGTGGTCAAAATGCCAAATTAATTTATCAGGTAATCCACTCTTACTGAGTGGCATTGTGCATACAGCCTCTGTATCGTCCAATGAAAACCGTTATCTAATGGCTTCCAGTTCCACCATTTGGTTTGTTCATCCACAAGTATTACTATTTTTTCTTCCACGCTCCAACTCCCTCGCTGTGAAATTGGTCTGAAGCTATTTGTTGAGGGGAGCCACTCATCTTCCCAAATTTTCACTGACTTGCCATCCCCAATCCTCTACCTCAAACCTTTTTGAAGTTCACCTTTCACTAGCCATATGCTCCTCCACGTTAGTGAAGTTGAAGTTCCCAGATCAGCTTCTAAAAAGTTACCCGTTGGAAAATATTTGTCCCTCAACAGCTTATGCGGTAGTGATTTAGTCCTATTCAAAATTCTCCACCCTTGTTTCATCAATAATGCTTTATTAAAGGTGGCCATCTCGAAAACCCACTCCCCCATTCTTTTTCAGCAAGCACATCTTCGGCCAGCTCAGCCAATGGATGCCTTTTTTTCCTTTCTCGTGCCTCCACCAGTAGCTGGATGTTATCCTGCTAAGTTCGTCACAAAGGGACTGTGATAGTTGGAAAACACTCATTGCATAGGTAGCGATTGACTGCAGAACTTCTCTTATGAAAGCCTCTTTTCCTCCATGTGAGAGGATTCTCTGGCTCCACCCATTTACCTTCGCATTAAACCTATCCTTCAATTCCCTAAACAGCCATTTTCTGTTGCGCCCCACCATAGCCGGGAGACCTAAGTATTTCTCCATATTTGTAGAGGACTGAATTCCAAACATATGTTGAACCATTCTCTGTTCCACTTCATCAGTGTTTCTAATGAAGTACAAGCCAGATTTCTCAAAATTGATTTTCTGACCAAACCATTGCAAATAGTAGGCTATCATCAGCAAATAAAGATAGAAATCAAAAAGCAATGTTGCAAATCAACTAGAGTTCAAAAAAAAAAAAAAACCTACAATCAAATTAAAAAATGAAATATAACATCTCATTTGTAACACAAAAACTATTAAAGAAAACAATCAATTAAATATTTTTTGAATGATTGCTCAAGTTTGAAAAAAAAATGCCAAATCGACAGCATCTTAAGTAATTTTTCTATAGTTGCTGAATCTTCCTTTGATATTCTCCTCAATACATTTCAAAATCTTATGAGCAAAGTAATTTTTATATGAAGTGTATAAAGAATCAAATCTAACTGTCAAAAATCACTATACTTCTAATTGAGACAAATAACTACTCTTTCGGACTTCCACAATAGTCTATAATTTCTTAACATAAACTCTCTATATAGTTTGGCTAAGACCATTTGTATACAA